AAGGCTTGCTTCTGCCAGTCCACGCACATGCCACCGTTTTGAGCGGCACTACCTCACTTTGTTGCAGCCCACTCAGTCCACATGTCGCCCCCCTGGACACTGCAAGCAAGGGCGTCGCCGCCAACTCGGCCGCCGTACGCAGCCCCCGCGCCAGCCGAAAACCCTGTCCCTCAGCGCAGCCGCCGCCCGTGGTGCGGGGCAGGCGCGGGGGCGGCGGGTGCGCTCACCAGCGCGTGCAGCAGCTCGTGCACGATGACCTCCATCTGGCGCCGCGGGGTCAGCACGTCGTACGCCCCCGGGCACAGGTTAATGCTGCCCATCACCGGCCGCGAGTCCTCCCCGCCGACCGCGCACGCGCCGGCGTACGCGACCGTGCCCGCGGCGCAGGGGGCGGAGGTCACATACAGCACAAAGTCGACGGGGCGGCCCTGGCCGGAGCCTGAGACGAACTCTGGGTCAACGGCGGCGTCCAGGCAGGTTTTTGAGGCCCAGCCGGAGGGCAGCAGCAGGTTCCCTGGCGTGGGGCGGCGGACCTGGAAGAGCTTCCGCAGCACCCGAACCGCGGTGGGCATGGTGTCGCTCTCGATCTGGGCGCGCATGCCGTCGTCGTCGGCCCAGCCGTCGAGGCGGAAGTCGAGCCAGATGCGCGGCGGGGCCGGCGGCAGGGGCGGCGGCGCAGGGGCCCTGGCGGTGGCCGCGGACTCCTTGGCTGCTTGGTATGCGTTCATCAAGACTGAGCGTCTGATCGACTCGCGCTCGCGCTGGGCCACCGAAGCGCGGCCGCAGCCCTTGTGCGCGATTCCGGGATAGGCGAGCAGCAGCAGCTGCAGCAGCAGCTGCAGCAGCAGCAGCGGTGTCGTGGCGAGCCTTGGCATCGTGGAGGAGCCGTGTGCTGAGCAACAACTGTTTCGCGGCTACTTCAAGCTATCTGTGGCCATCTCATGCAGATGTAAACTGTTCCGTGCATACGCGCCGTGGGACGGTTGGGTTTGCCGTCAAGGAGCTCAGAACGACCACGACCGTGCGATGTACTTTAACATTCAAGCCACACGAAGAATTTGTCTACATACGTCAACGCATGTCAGGCATGGTCGGGTGCAGATGACCACGCGGTGTGGCTGCAGAGAACTCCTGGTGTCATAATCCACCTTGCCAAGCGCTGCCAAGCGCCGCCAGCTGCGGCTGCCCTGCAGCGCTGTGCTGTGGCGGTGTGCTGCCTGCTGTGGTTGTGTGCTCCTGCAGCCACCAGCCTGTGTGTTTCAGTGCTGTCTTGACCCGGCACACGCCTGCGCCCCCCCCCCCCCCGATCTAGAAAAGAAAAATGCTGTGCCATGCCTGCGTGCGCTCCTGCACCGCCCTGGCACGACTGCGCAGCTGCCGGCAAGGTAGCTGTGCCTGCGGGCTGGCCTCGGCACAGCTGCGCTCGCTGCGCTAGGGAAGTGGAGCTGCAGCCCGCACCCCAGACTTCATTGACACTGCACTGCGCTGCAATCTGCGCTGGGGCTTGCAAGCTTCGGCTGCCCCATCGCGGGAAGCAATTCGACGGGGTTGGCTAATTTACAAGAGGTGGAGGCCAGGTGAAAATCTCCCAGACACTCGGTCCAATGGTATGGTAACTCATGACAAGTGTGCCCATTGCTGCTGCTTTTCAAGGTTGCTGCATTCAAGCCACGGCCGCCGCGACGGGCTTCTTGCTCGCCTTGATGCCGTTGATGGCTGCAATGGGGGAAAGGGGGAGGGTGGGGTCCATCTGTCAGCACCACTGACTGTATCGCGTGCGCAACACCGACACAGCAGGCGGCGCGTCAACTCGACGCCACAGTGCCCCTCCACCACCAGCTGCAACCTGGACCCCCTCAACCCCTCCTCTGAATCAAGCCCAGACGCTGCAGGTCGCCGCGGCGCGGGGCGCGCCGCGCAATGCGCGTGCTGCGACACACAGGCAGTGTGTTGGCGATCCGCGCACCGTCGCGGTACGAAGGCGCCTTGAAGACGGCGGAGCCCGCGACGAGCGCGTTGGCGCCCGCGTCGATGACCTTCCAGGCGTTGGCCGGGGTCACGCCGCCGTCCACCTCGATCCAGGGGTTGACGCCCTGCCGGGGTTGAGGTTTGTGTGTTGTCGTTAGGTGAGGGTGCAGAAAGCTCTGCTAGTCGGAAGCCAGCTTGATCTGCTCATGCACAACTGGATATTGGCGCAACATGGTCCGCAACCCCGCGGCGCCCAAAATCAGCTGCTTGCGGCCGCTTCGCAACAGCCGCCCGAAAAGCCGCACCCAGACCACCCAGCCTCTGCTCAAGCGACGCAGGCAGCCACTCCTGTCGCGGCCCTCGAAGCGCTGCTAGCGGCGGCCCACCCCCCCTCGACGGCCAGCTTGCCTTGCCTCAACGCCCCCCCCCCCCCCCCC